GGGTAGATAATAAATACCATAACCACGATTATTGATTATTACTCTTATATCATGGAAAACATCCTTCCCCTGCTGCTAATAAGGTGGTAAGAACTCGCGCGGGGGTATCTCACCACCTGCCTATAAAAAGCGACGCGCAGACCAGTGATGAGGATTGATTCGATTATTCGTTCATTCATTCAGAAAGATTCATTCCATACCATTCATTCACTTACCCATTCTTGTATTTCACGACTCAAGCACACAGAGAAAACATTCTTAACACTCTGATCTATTGACTCACAATTGTAGAAGGTAAAAATTAAAGATTCGATACTTAAATATTCGTCTCCTCAGATTAAATCCTAAAGATCCTTCTTGGTTCCGAGTTAAAACATAACTCACAGAAACCAGCCCGTCCCGGGGTAAATTAGTTAAATCTATTGACCTGAAAAAGGACTAACATACATACATTCACGTTTCACGTCGTGACAGCGTAATTCTTTACAAAATGATGGAGGACGTTCTCGTCCAGTTTGACTTAATCCGCAAGCGCGCGAAGGCAGCCATCGCCATCACGGCTCATTTAATACAGAGACCGCGCGCAAATTCACTCATCAATCTCCTTTAATTGATAACTCATAATTGATAATCTCACGCGTTTGTTCGCGCGAAACGGGCTAGAGGGACGTTTCGTTCAGTCTGATCCAATCCACGCGCGCACAAGATTTCACGTGTTTCATGTTGTCGTCAGACATCCCGTGTATAAGATATGTACTTTGATATGTAGCGCAGCTATACAACGCTTGTGCAGAACTATCACGAGCACGCGATAAGAGCATAGAGAGAGAGAGAGAGAGAGAGAGAGAGAGAGAGAGAGAGAGAGAGAGAGGATGTGACGTGAATCGCGCTGGAAGCGCGTTTCGGATATTTCCCGTATTAAAAAAAAAGAGATGCAGATATATGCATTGTGTGCCGTAGATATATACGCATTGAATCATGGGGCAACGTGGCATATTTATCGCTCGCCACGGATTTCGACTTCGTCACAGTGGTGGAAATCGAATAGCAGGGCGTATCGTCGCGGCGCGTCCCTACACAATCGAAGATCCGCGAGAGCGGGTTATATTTATAACAAACAAACAAAAATGGCTAGGGAAAAGCACGATATATCTGTGACAATTTCAATTTTAAAGACCGAACTTCCCCGGCGCGGAAGCGACGTGGCACGCGCTACGCCCGATCGGAGCATCACGCACGTTCCTGACAGCTCACTCGCTCAAACCCTCCCCTCCCCCTCCACACACACACACACACACACACTCGCATATATTCGCACACAGCGCAATTACTGTCGTAGAGCATTTCTCTCTCGTCCTCGAATCTTCGCGGTATTATCTCGCGTCATATATTCTCGCGCAATCTCGATCCCCCGCGCTGTAATCGAAGTAAGACGGAATAAAACGACGCGCGATCGTCTCGCGGATCAACCGGGTGATTCCGTAAATAATATAATTGTTAATTACCGCGCCTTATACTCGATGCAACCGTCCTCCCGACACGAAGCGACACGCGACAGACAGTGAATGAACGAGCAAACCGCGCGCGCACGCACGCAAAAACCATCACGGCCTTTAATTAAAACTCCCTTTGGACGGTTTCATAACGGAGCACCTCCGTGCGCTTTATAAGAACAGGCTAATTAAGACAGCTCGGAAACGGAGATCGATACAGTCTCAGGAAGCGAAGCAAGGAGAGAGAGAGAGAGAGAGAGAGAGAGAGGGGGGGAGGGAAAGGAGGGAGAGAGGGAGGAGTTCCATACCGCAAACAAGAAAAGAAAACAAAAAGAAAAGGAAAGGAAAAGAAATTAAGCCGCGCATCGGACAATCCTCTCTCTCTCTCTCTCTCTCGTATGCGCGCGTTCGCGAATTCACGCTGTCTAATTGGAAAACGCGGTCTCGCTCGGGAGTCGCACGACGTCGAAGAAGCTGCGACGCACCGAGCGCGGTCGGTGCGGCGATGGCGCGAAAAGATTGCGGGGGAAGGAGGCGGGGAAAGAGGGGGGGCGGAGGGGGGGGAGCGAGGGAGCGAGCGAGCGAGAAGAAACCTTTCTTCGACTAACCACGTGCTCCTGGTGTCCGTCATGCCCGATCAGGATGAGGTCCCCCTCGGATGACGTTCGCAGAAGCCGGCGAGAGCCCTCTCGACACCGAGCTGAGAAAGCCGAAGGAGCGATAACGCGCACCACCTCCGCGGACGGGAGTCGGCCACTGACTGAACGTGACTCCGATTCTCTCTGGAACCGGGAGGAGGCTGCGTCGACCGGTCATGGACCACGGGCCTGCGGCCTTCCGACACCGAAGTCGGTGCCGCGAATTTCGCGCTCCCCTGCCTGCCCCACCTCCCGCGCCCAACCATCGGCCTCCCGCCTCCACCGCCGCGCGCTGCGTTACATTTTCGTCTGATAAAGCTGCGCGCGCTCGCGCGACATTGAAATTCGCGTAGCACCGCGAGGAGCGACGAGACGCGTTATCGAGTCGTTCTCAGCGATAAGAGATCCGGAGGAACCTCTCTCGTCTTCGGGAGTCTTCGAGATTCGCATGGCACGTGGTCGTCGCGCGCGAAGCGAGGCGCCGGTCTTCGCGGCTGAGAGCGCGCTGCGGGCGTGATGGCGAATTTTGATCGCCGCGAGTCGCGCGCGCGCGCGCGATTTTTATTATGCGCGAACACGCGCGCGCGCGCGAGGAAACCGCGGTGTTACGTCGCGCGCGTCGAGGTCGGGAAGCCGGAAGGGAGAAAGAGAGAAAGAGAAAACGGAGGTCGCCCTGTTTTTGTCTCTCGACTCTGGCTGGCGTTTGATACAAGAAGACAATTTGTTCCACTCGCGAATGTGCACACGCATCGCCGCATCGCCGAGGCCGCGAAGCTGCGAGCGCGCGCGGCAACGCGTGCGCGATATAACGTATCTAATTGAGACAAGAAACGCAAAGCGCGACGGAAACGACGAAGCGGCGATTAAAAGTACGCAACGTGCCGTAAAGCACGACTGCGCGTTTTACTGGGCGTGCTAATATAAATCGATGCTGCGTAAAACGTTTTCTCACGAAGGACGTGAGTCATTAAACGGTCGGTTAATATTCGCCCAAGCGAACTCGAACGTAACGACTGCCGATCGCCGTGGCTTCTCTCTTTCTCTCTCTCTCTCTCTCTCTCTCCCTCTTTCGCTCATTTTTATTCTCGCGCTCGAGTCGGCAGCGTCGAGCGCGAGCGCGGTGAAAAATAACGAAATGCACGAGAAGCGCTTTAAACGAAACATTCGTCACGCCCCGGGAGCGCGCGCGCGCGCGCGCGCGCGCGCGCGTGACACGCGCATTTCGAGCTTCCGCCCCGCGTCGAGATCAACTTTTTCCCGGATTTTTATCTTTCCGTGAGCTGCGCGCATAAAACCTTGTCATTTTTACTTTCATACGCGGAAATAATGAATTTACGCTGCCGCGTAATCGCGCATACGCGCGCAATCTCTCCTGTGTCTCTCCTCCGCATTATTTACAACACACGCATACGCGAGAGTGCCAATGTTGAAAAGTCCCGGCGGTTGCCGGCCGCGCTTTGCGAAAACGCGTCCCGCCGTGCCAAGCTCCAGCATCGCCAGGGCTTTCGCGCTGACTGAGTGGCTCAAGGTCAATGGGGAAAGATCGAGCCGTCTTCCGCGGCTGCTGGAAATCCATTCATCCGTTCATTCACTCAGCCACGGACGTCTTAATGAAAAGTGGCGGTCGGGGGCGGTCGGGAGCGAGCGATTTACGAGCGATCGGTGCCGATGCCGCGTGTGGAAACGGCGAATGAATAATGTAAGGCGCGCGCGCGCTCTCCGCGATGGCTCCTTAATAGTAACGAGCGGTATTACTCTTCCCGGCGAAGACACGCGGATACCGCGCGCGGGCGGAGGGGGGGGGTATGCCCGTCGACCTTGGGGCCCGCTTATATTCGCGCGCGAAATGTTATAAAATATTTGACTTGCGTAACGCGCAATGCGACGGAGGCGTCGGCGTCGGCGTCGCGCGTCACGACGCGATAATAAAGGCGCGAAACTCCGAAAAAAGCAGCGAGCGGAGCGCCCATTAACGCCAAATGTCCAAATCGGTAGAATTGGCGCGCGAGGGACACACGTCGTCGTCGAAGACGATAATCGTTTCGACTCTGAGTGGAGGCGGGCAGGCGCGCTCCAACTGTCGGTTGTTACCTGATCGGGACACCTGATCGAGGAATCAGGATCGCCGCCGGCCGGCCGCGGCGTCCTCGCGTCTCTCCTTGTGCCTCTCGGCGACGCGATCTCGCCTCTCATTCGGTTACGGTGCTGATCGCGCCCGGCCTTTTATCTCCGCTCGCCGTCGCCTCATTATCACCGGCCAAGTTGGACTGCACTTTCGAGATAGGATGATGTTACCGGAGTTCGGAGACGATTTCAAGACGGCGGAGAGAAGTGGAACTTTTAATAATAAGATCCCGGGGAGACGCAAACTCACTCTCTTCCTTGTGCGCGCGCATACACTTCGTACTAAGTCGTTTTAATAATTGCGAGAGTACCGCGACCGGACGGGCGCGCGCGCGCGCGTGGATAAGAGCAGAGTAATTTCAGCATCTTGAATGAAAAGACTCGGAATCGCGTATCACCCGAAGCCGGAGTTCGTCTTTTCGTCGCGGCCCGTTAACGTCAGCCGTTTGCCGAGGCGACGCACGAATTCTTCATCGGCGGACCCGCCGACTCTCCGCCGAATGCGCCTGACGGCTGCTCGCTTCCGCGATCAAACTTTGTTATCCTGTCGTTATCAAAGTAAAATTAAGAAAAACGAAGAAAGAAAAAAAAGAAGAAAAGAAACGAACGTGCTCGCAGTAAAGCGAATTTCATACGAGCGCTATCTCTATTTCATCGCGATCGGCGACGGCCGGTCAAGGCGATCAAACGGATTCCCCCTGTCGATATAATCGAACCGCAAGGTGTATCGTTCGCCAACACCAACCTCGACAGTCGATGGTGCATGGTGACCGATGCGACTCCCCCGTCCCGCAGGAATCCAGGATGCGGTGTGGAGTCGTTCTTATCCTAACACAACGTCGGCGCCCTGGTCCTCCTCGAGGCTGTAGCCCGAAAGCTGTAGGCAACGACACGAAAGCCGGTCCTCACGAAAGGACGCGCGCGTGCAACTCACGGGAGAAAACTGACCGAAAGAAGCGCGGAACTCGGAGAGAGAACCGACCCCCGATATGAGCCGCTTTCGGCCGTGCGAGTGCGAGGGAGAGGGGCTGGAGAGAGCGATGATACGGAGGAAGAGGAAGAGAAGAGGGAAAATGTGGCGCGGAGAGGGGGGATGAGCAGGGCTGGCGAGAGATAGAGAGAGAGAGAGAGAGAGAGGGGGGGTAGAGAGAGAGAGAGAGAGAGAGAGAGAGAGAGAGAGAAAAGAGAGAGAATGAGAGGAAGAAGAGACGGGGTGGTCGGCTGCCGAGAGAACGAGACGGATTGAGGGACGACCGATGGTGGGGGATTTCTTACTCATTCATACTCCGACGCCCCCGCAAATTACGGGCACCGACTCGCACACAGGCGACGTCGCGCGCCGCGCTTCGCATTCGGAGCGCGTCCGATGCCGTCCGATTAACGAATTTATCGCGCCCGCGCGCTCTTCAGCGCGGCGCCGATCAAGCGCTACGCGACTTCAACAAGTATCCTGGGGATTTTATTCCCGTCAAAAGGCGGGGATTTTATCCTCGCGCGTTTCACGTTCGCTTACTCCCCGCGCTTGCATTTTTATCCCAGAGTCGGAATAAATGTATCGTAAATATCGGGCAATTTTTACATAAAAAAAAAAAAGAGAGAGAGAGAGAGAGAGAGATAAAGAGAGATGTAGCAGTTATCAACGGATTTGGCGCAGCCGCTCAAGGCACATGCGATTCAACTGCAATTTCGCAGTGGGAATAGTTTAAATATAAAATCCTTTGGTAAGCGCGCCCTCCTCTTCTCTCCCCCCAACTGCTCACACCCCCTGTGCGGCCGCGATCGTCGCGGAAAATAAAATCGACGCGGAAAATGCCACGAGTCCAGCGGGTTATTAAGCTGTCGCGCGGCCGACCGAGCGGCAGATTATCCGAACTCGTTTATCATCGTTATCGCCGAAAATCGCATCTGCGATAGACGCTCATACATTAACGGGCTTTTGTTAATTAACGCATCTGGCCGTCGTCGCGGACAATACGCGCGCGTCAAACGGCCGCGCGCGGACTATTGAATTTCGGCGAATCGGGTAATCCGGTTCCGCGCTCCGAATCCGTCCGTCCGTCCGTCCGTCCGTCCGTCTGTCCGATACACGTCGCGCCGTTCGGCGAGAGCGCGCGCCTATCGCCAGGTAATCACGCTCACATTTTATTAATCGGCATGCCATTTTGTTCATTACGCGGTATTATGCGGCCGGAATGTGCGCCGAGTGACGCAGCTGAACCCGCGCGGAAAACGGTGTTTGGACGCCACCGGCGGCGGCGGCGGCGGCGGCGGCGGCGGCTTCCAGCACCACCTGTTATAACTTCTGAAATTACGAAATCCCGGGACTGTTTGCAATCTAGCGTTTGAAGCTTGCCACGTGCTTCAGCTGAATGCCTCACGAATACGGCCATAACGCGCAGCTTGTTGTTGACGCTGGCGTGCGGCGACGAATTGTAATTAACGGCGCGCACACGCGGCGGCGATGAAAAATTTCACACGCGGGCGGCTGAAAGGGGTGTATACCTAATGAATCGAGGATGTCGTGGGATCGATAATGGCATCGGCTGGCGCATATGGTGTGTGTGTGTGTGTGTGTATTTGTCGAGACACGAGTTCACATCCCGCGACTTGCCCAGCGCGATCGTCCACGCGCGGGAATTTCTTTCGCCGCGGCACTGCAGCGCCGCTCTCTGTTAATGGCGATTCCGATTTACGGCCGATCTATTTACGTCCCCGATCGCATCAATGAATACCGGCGGCTGACATAATGGAAACGCGATCTACATAATGCGCCGCGCTAGTCGCGCGAACATGATACACATCGAGCTGCGCGAGTAAAGTTGCGTGTTATCAAGAGTGCGATGCTGCAACGTTCGACAGAGAGAGAGACAGAGAGCGAGAGAGAGAGAGAGAGAGAGAGAGAGTGAGGGGGGGGAGGAGGAAGAGAGGGAGTTCCTGCTGGAACAATATTCTACTTTTACAATATTTTAAAACGCGTGAGGCACACACAGTGTGCGCACAAACTTTAGATGCGCTCGCGGACGGGTCGGGTTACATATAAATGTGGATCAAAGGGTGTGCGTTTCTGGTCGCGTCCCTCTCTGTGGTGCGCTCGTAAAATTATTTTAAGAGATCTTTGTCCCTCGGATATCGGAAAATCGATACGGTCGAATGCTTCGCGAGAGGCGCGTTTAATATTAAATTTACGCAAGCCGCGGGATCTTTATCGCGCACGCGTATCTCTGCAGCAGCAAACGGACAAACAAACAAATAAACAACGACAATGTATTCCTCCCTATTTCACGATACGACGATTATTCCCCAATGAATTTACAAGCGAGCCGCGCCGACGATACTCGATGTATCGTTTGCCGTTCGTACTATTTCGGACGGCATAAATTTTCGGAAGCTCTTTTGAGAGCGCGCGGCACCTCGACATTTATATACCGCCGCGGCAGTTTTTAAAGGCAGGACACGTGTCCTACGCCATGAAAGGAGGGTGGGCGTCAAAGGAAGCAGCCAGTGACCTCGAGAAGCGTCCGTCATATTTAGGACACCCGATAGACGATAACTATGCTCCAGGATGTAGGCTGATAGAAACCGTGAGCGAGCGATTCAGCTCCATTGAGAGAGTTAGATTCCTCATTCACATATTCCCCTTAATTTATCGACCGTTCGAGGAATGTCGCGTGTAAGGTTACGTCACGCAATCGCGCGGATCGCGCCGCGCGAAGAAGCTGTGCGACGTGTAACGTCAGATTTTAACTCGACGTTCGGGAGATCGTGAAGTTATCATTGATATTGAGCGTGCAAACTAATGATTTCGTACATTTCGACTAAATATAACGCTCGTCCATTTCACCTCGCGCTTTGAACGCGAGCTTCATTAGCTATCCCGAAATATTCATCAATCGTTCGGCAGGATCATTTTTATCGTGCACTTTCTCGCCCGGCGATACGAATCCTCCCCGTCCTTCCGAAACGCGCGGGAAGCGGGCTTTTATCTGAGCCACCGTTTCGACTACTACTTTTAACCGCCGCTGATTAAAAGCGTGTTCGACGTGGGCGGTTTACAATAATTAGGTCGGTGCTGATAGGATGTTATATTTCTGTAACAGCAATCGCGACGATTTCGACGCACGACACACCGGATGGGGACGGCGAGCGGAAAAAACGGATGAACAGCGACGGTTGAAAGAAAAAAAAAAAAAAAAAAAAAAAGAAAAAGGAAGAAAGGAAAAAAAAGAGGAAGGATCCGCAGAGAGGCGCTGATTGCGATACAAGTTACCGAACGGCCAGACAGTTTGCGCTAATGGTTACGTTACCGTGATAACATTACCGAGAGTATCCGGCGACGCGCGACGTGACGCCGCGCGAGCGTAATTTCGCCGCCAGTTCGCTCGCGACAATAGAACGCCAGGCGAGAATGGCGTATTCTTATAACGTGGCCGAGGCGCCTCCCGACGACGCAGCCAGCGTGCAGCACGACGTCCGACGCGCCAAGAAATTTCTCCAGAAACGCAGCCCGGAATCGGGCGACAGCCTGTAAGCGCGCGGCCGAATATTTCGATGAGTGGCTTCGCGGTAGAAAAAGCGGATCGAGCACAAATTAATAAGCGCCCCGTTGTTTTCTTCTTATCTTGGGCGTATCGTGTACATTTGCATGTTTGCGAGCGTTGTTACAAGACTGAATCGATCCCGAGGTCTCGGAGAAACCGAGATGAAAACTTTCGCGCGCTCGCCTAAATTATATTACCCCCCTCCCTCTCTCTCTCTCCCCCCTTCCTCCCTCCTCTTTCTCCGCCGCACGACGCGCTTTTACATTTCCCGATAAATTCCGCGCATATTTTTTTTCCTTCGCGGAGAATTCGCCGACGCGCGGCGGGGGACGATCGTTCCGCGGTAATTCTGAAATAACAGGCGCGCTCTTAGATACCGCCCACGTTCGAGGGCCGTTAATAACGTTGCCGATACCGTCTCGCGTAGCCACCGATAAGCGAGAAACTCGATATCGTCATCAATAACAACGATAATTTGCAAAAATGATCACGCGCTTCGAGCGGCGTCCCATCGTTTCGTCGGAATCGAATTTACGTGTTCCCTCTCCCGCGACAATGAAACGTCAGAATGCACGAGATAGAGAGCGCGCTCTCTTTCTGCTGTCGTCTTTCTTTCTCCTTCGGCACGTCTATTTTAGATACGACCACTTAACCGAGCTTTTAGCGAAGATCTTGGCCGAACGGCCGCGAAACGCAGTCGACAGCTTTGAGCAGTACAGCAGGAAACTGAAGGAAGAGAGGTTTAAGACTAAGACGGATCATCTGCGGGATCTGTACGTGCCACCCGTGCAGTACGACGACGCCAAGAAGCTCATTAGGCTCTTCCAGCAGGTGCGGTCTGACAAGTGACAGATAATGAAAGCGCGATACACTCGGCTTTCCCGTCGCACGCGATATAAGCAACACGCGCGAATGGCGCAAACGAGGCGAACTGTAATCTTTGTTTTGCCACGGCTCTCGATCTTCTCGCAATCACGGCAGAGCGTGAAGCAGCGGTTCGACGAGCGGGGCGAGGGGGAGAAGATGGCTGCTGACGAGGGCGAGGACGAGGACGACGAGAAGAAGAAGTGTCCCGACATGTTGGATCTTTTGTTCCACCTTGAGCGAACGGGTGTAGGATTGCCGCGGCACGAGATGGTGTTGCTTAATTTATCGATTCGCAAGCTCGCCTCCGAGGTACCGGTTGAAAATATTAGGTATTCGGCTCGAGCGGCCCGCGGCTGCTTCCCGCGGCGAGATTCCGTCTCGTCAATCGTTCTCCGTTCTGCGCGTATTTTTCTAACGTCAATTCCGTCGCCTGCGACACAGATTTTGGGGCAAGATACTCGGCACGCCCAGAAATTATTACGTGGTGGAGGCGGAACTTCGGCCGGACGAGTTGGCCCGAAGATCGCAGGTAAAATATCACTGTCGAATTTATAATAGGCGCGCGATAGCACATCCCACAATACGCGCTTTCGTTTTCGCTCTCATTTCTCGCCGACGATTACCCGAATCGAGAAAATCCACGCCGAGATTTGTACTCGTTGCGATTCGACAAATTCACCGCGATCCGCTCGCGTATGGAAAGTACTAATTGTCGCGATCAACAAAGTCCAACTCCCTTCGAATAAATAAATAAATAAACAACGTGGCTGCCGCGATGCGGAATCTCGGCAGATCCTCCGAGAGTATTCTTGTATTTTCTCGGAAAATAACGCAGGAAGAAGCACAGAGAGAAGACAGAGACAGACGAGAGAGGGGTGAAAACAAAGCCGCGGCGAGGGTGAAGCTCGCGGAGGGTGAAACCGCGACGAGAACCGAGAACGAGGCCGCGGCGGGAGCCATCACGGCGGCGGAAGTCCTGCGCGAGGACGACGGAAGCAAGCCTTTGGAGCTTGTTCTGCCGCCGCTGCCTGTTAATCCGTGGCAACCGGCGGCGCAAGTGCCGGCCGAAAGAATCGGGAGCGGTCTCAATAAAAAGGTGAGCGTTTGCGGCTCCAATTACCAGCGTTGACATGAAGGATCGGCTCTCTCAATTTAATATTCGACCCGCGCGTCTCGCGTCGCGCATCCCTTCCCCTTTGCCCCTCGGCCTCTCTTTTTCTTCCTTACGATGCTCCCGCTCTGCCTCACGACGCGCCACGCTATTTAGCTGTATTTTGTATGCAACGCGCCCGGCCTGGACGAGTGGATCGAACTTCCGCCGGTAACGCCGCAGCAGATAATAATTGCACGACAGATTGTCCGATACTGCACGGGAAACTTGGAGACGCTGGTACGTGGACGCTTTTTTAACGAGGGCCTGCAGGTTAGCGCGTCGCGTTGTTTTAGCCAACACGTCCGCAACGTCCAACTGTGCAACGCTAACCGACGCTAGCCGCCCTCGTTATCCCGTTTATATCTGACGGCACGCGCGACGGAGTGTCGGAACTCCGCGGAGGCGGATGCGCGGTAACGATAGATGAATAGAGCGGGAAGGCGGATAAAACGCGCGATAAAGTCGGAAACTTCGCGTTTCCGAGCAAAGTGCGCTCTAGCCGCAAACGGAGAGAGAGAGAGAGAGAGAGAGAGAGAGAGAGAGGAAAGCGATAGTTCGATGACGGACGAAAGAAGAGGCCTACGGCGGTTTTCAACTCGAAATTAGTTTGACCGCATCATCCCACTCCGTCGTACCCCGGCCGTCTTGTCCCGGTTATCACTCACGCGTTATCACATCGGCGTTTCCCGGCTGTGACGCGCGCAGATTCGCAGTTTTCCGCCGTTTCCCGGCATCGAGAAGCATTACCTCCGCGCGCAGATTGCGAGGATCAGCGCGGCCACTCACGTCTCGCCGATCGGCTTCTTCACGCTCGGCGGGGATGTCGAAGACGAAGAAGCGGAGGAGGAGAGGAGAACGGAGGGTAAACGCGAACTTTTGTGAGCCTCGTCGGGGAGCCGACTTGCCGGTAGACACGAGGCGAGAGTGCTCTAGTCGAGGCGCGATATAATATTTCTATCTCGCGTCTATTTACATATTAAATCGCATCGCAGTTTACGAGGAAGGCGAGCTGTCGGAGAACCCGCACTACGATCCACCGGCGATCGAGGATCTCATGGATCCTTCAAACTGGTGCCACCACAGCCCGTACATTCTCGAGCAAGGACGGGCGGTTTGGTGGAGTCCCGAGAAAGAGGAAGAAATTGCGGATGTCAGTCCGTAGAGGAAAACGTTCTCATCGACAATTGCGCGAGAAAAATTGACGAAAACTAATTCCCGTGATCTCACACAGGAGGAACTCGAGGAAGAAGAAGAAGAAGAAGAAGAAGAAGAAGAAGAAGAGGCGGAGGAGGAGGACGAAACCAGGACGACCAAGGACGACCAACGAGAGATCGGACCGCCTCTCTTAACTCCGTTATCCGAGGACGCGCTTGTCGACTTCGTGACGCCGTGGACCATCGGACAATCGTCGCGGGTGCAACCGGACATCGCGGTGGCTGCGGTCAGATCGAACGTCTGGCCCGGAGCTTTCGCGTTTGCAGTTGGAAAGTGTGCAAACTCTCTCTCTCTCTCTCTCTCTCTCCTCCTCTCTCTCTCTTTCTCTTTGTCGCGCGCTCTCAACGCTCCGTCGCGTCCACCCAGCGCGCGAGAGGGCCGATTGAAGGGCGTGTTGAAGCGATCCTGCAACTTGCTCGAGAGGAAACTCCTCGGTAGCGGTGGAGCGGAACGCGGGGGGACGCGCGAACGAGCGCGGCAAAACGCGCACAGCGCGCGAGGCAGATCAAAATCTATTTCATATCCTCCAACGTGCAATATTCGCCGCGCATTCAATAACCGTCCGTCCCATTCCGCCGCGTTCGAGAGCATTTGCGGTCCGGGCTAACGCGGCGGAGGAAATTATGCTGATCCGCCGCAGTCACGTTACGGTGGGAATTAATGCGCGCGAGATTACGCTAATGCAATTCTCATGGTGTCCTTTCGCAGACGCTTCGCCAACGTGTACATCGGCTGGGGCCACAAACACAACGCCTACAACTACAGTCCGCCCAACATGCCGCCTGTCCAGGATCAGTACAAGATCGGGCCGGAGGTCATGGAAATCCGCGACCCCACCGCTGAAGAAGAAGAGGCGGATCGAATCGCGCGCTCACCGCCGCCGTTACCAACCGGTAATTGCTTCAGACATGTATCACAACAACGTTCGTTCTTTTATGCTTCTCAAAATAATCCACCATCGCAGGAGAAGAGGAGGCACTGGGTGAAGAGGAAGAAGAGGAGGAAGAGGAAGATGATGAGGAAGACGAGGACGACGAATAATTTCTTTTACGCGCCGCCGAGTATACTTTTAACTGTTGCGTGTGTCGATGATATTTAGATTATGTGTTATATGTATATTATATATTTTTGTCTCTTGTGCGGAGAGAGAGAGAGAGAGAGAGACAGAGACAGAGACAGATACAGAGACAGAGACAGAGGACAGAGAGAGACAGAGAGACAGAGAGAAAGGCTGTGTTGAGGAATCGATGCAACGTACTTTACTCGAATTGTCTTGAGACTTGTTTCGCTCAGATTTTTTAATCTGTCACGTTTCGAAAAAATTTTGCGTTCTTGTTATCAAATAAGATATTTACCCGTTCCTATATTTGGTACTTGAAAATAAAAGAGATGTCTGAACTGCAGTTATGTCATACTACTTGGTAAAAGTCTACTTGACCTGCACAGCTAGTATAGTGGCGACTCGTAGCGGAGATTCGTGCAGTTGCAACTGATTCATAACGTTCACAAACTGCACGTGGTCGATAAGCGTTCTTAACCTCTTACTTGTTATTGTCTCGCCAACTGTGTGAACAAAACAAACCATCTTAATTTGTATAAGATGACTGAAGAAGGTGTTGAAGCTGATTGCGTCTTGCGACCAATAAACTGTGAAATTAATTTATTGTCAAGATCTGACGGCTCTGCAATGTTCATGCAAGGTATGCATCATAGAAAATAGCGTCCTTGCTACAATGTTCATTGTTCTTTTCCTTCACGCGCAGGTGACACTACTATTATTGTGGGTGTAAACGGGCCCATGGAGGCAAAAACCCAAAAGATGTTGTACGACAGACTTTCTGTAGAAGTTACGTACACACCTACCAAGGGGCCAGCTAGTGAGTTTATAAAAAGTTAAGATCTCATGATTGTTTCAATGTTTCTTCTCAATACGATAAATTCTGATCTGTTTCAGAGGTGGATGACAGATTAGTTGAGGCATACATAAGAGAGACTTGTGAGTCTGCTATAATGACTACACTACATCCTAGTAGCGCTATATGCATCAATTTACAAGAAGTACAAGAATGCGGTGGGGTATGATCTTGTTTCATGTCATACTATGTGTCCAAAATTATGTGTAAATTTCTATGAACATAATATGCAAAGATATATGACTAAAATTATGTATCTTTTACAGCTGTTAGCTTGCGCAATTAATGCATCATGTCTGGCATTGATGAATACAGGGCTTACCATGAAGTATGCTATAGCAGCTGTAAGTTGCATGATTGAGAAAGAAACAGAAGAAACTATCATTGATCCTGACAGCACACAGTTACAGGTGCTTATAACAATAAGCAAATAATTTCTTGTATTATATTCTTTTCATAAATGTTAACGTGATTTATTTGCAGAACGCAAAGTCGGCATTTACATTTGCGTTTGACAGTATTAAGAAGGATATCGTATGCTGCCATACCGTCGGTAGGTTCACGCAAAGCGAACTTTTAGCTTCCATGGATAAGTGTAGGCAAGTCAGCCAGTATGTGTTTGACTATTACAGAGAAGTTACAAAAAAATATGCAAATACAATTTAATTATTTTTTTTTTCATTTCAATATTGTGTTCATTATATTATCAGTCAAGAATGTTACAACTCCTCTATAAAGCCAATTCCTGTCTCTCTTTTTCTCTTTCCGCTCAGTCACACACGTACACACACACACACGCACACACACATTGTGAGTTGTATATTATAAAATTAATATTCAATTTTATCATTCGATGTGTATTGTGTTACGCTCATTCTCACACACGTTCGGAAATCAGATACACACATTTATAAAAGACTCAAACATTTAATAAGTTCATATTTACTGCGTGTTAAAAATAATCGTGATCTCGCGGTCTCGGATTTGTCACACGGATTCAAATCCATACTAGGCCTTTCCGTAGAGGTCAAATTTTTTTTTCTCGCCAAGATATTAATATCAAAACTAATATGTAAAACTATTGCCATCTTGTAGCTTATCGAGAAAATAAATGTTCACGATGAACAGCTGTTCTCTATTGTATCGGTTGCAAGAAATCTTTCTCATGAACATATGAACGTTATGATTTTCATCATACCTTCCTTATCGACCGTAGAAACAAATAAGACTGTTAATGAATATTTTCTTTTTTCGATAATAATACTTTTGTTATTACTATAATCTTGTTATAAAACCTAATTTTTTCGTGTATTTGATGTTATTGAGTACAAAATTACTTTTTCCCTTCCACTGGTCATACTTGCTCATCTCAGTTTCTACCTATTGTCGACAGAGGATGCGAACAAACCTCCTGATTTCTGCTGCCCTCTGTGGCATTGCAAGTTTCTCTCTCCCTCCTTCCCTCTCTCTATCTCCTCCCTCCTCTTTCTCTACCATAGAAGATTCCAAACGCAACTTTTTTCTGGATTAAAAAAATAATCTTTTACTACCAAGTCCCAAGATCTTTTAATATCAATTACGTTTAACATACATCAATCCACGTTATCCATGTTACCAATTCATCAATTGTGCAATATTAACATAATGAGAATACTAAAAGAAGAAAGTACATGACGTATATGGCAAAAAGTAGATCGCAGTCATCTGCTTAATTAATGTTGAACTTCAACTATAATAATCAACTTTCTTCTTAAAGACTTGAATCGCATCGATCTCCATGTCCACTTCGATAAGAGAGAGAATGCTACGATAATCTTTCTAATAATCTCCTTCTTGATCATTTGAATTCAATCTGGACAACATCCAATTACAAAGATACGCGGTTAATAGACCGATAAACTGAACTGGCCGAAAAGCGCCGAGTCTAAACAGTAGTCAGGAGAGGTTCTCTCTCCGTGACATCAGAGGGACACTCGCTCGTGGCCTCTCTCTCTCTCTCTCTCTCTCTCTCTCTCTCTCTCTCACTCTCTCTCTCGCATCGGTATTCCTTGACTCTTCCATTATTCATCCATTATTCGTGCCTCGCTATCGAGAGGCTCGCCATCTCAAGAGCAAATACATTCCGAGTGCATTCAGCGTTGCATTCGGCTTTAGCGCGTTTAAAGAGGAGCGGATATCTGTCGGTACGGCCACGCCCGGTCGCCAATCACGGCTGGTACCTCTACCCTTCGACGTGTATCCTTTGTGTCCTGTGGACCCTTTTAGTCCCTCTTTCTGGCTCTCGGGAGCCCAGGGACCACTCGGTGGCCATCTCTGGACGTCCATTAAATACAGAAATGAGCCTTCCAAGAGCGCCTCGAACGGGTCGGACCAGATCCTACGGCCGGGCCCGGCCGAGAGAAACCCGAAGAGTGAAAGAGAAAGAGAGAGAGAGAGAGAGAGCGAGAGAGAGAGAGAGAGAGAGAGCGAGAGAGAGAGCGAGAGAGAGAGAGCGAGAGAGAGAGAGAGAGAGAGAGAGAGAGAGAGAGAGCGAGAGAGAGAGAGAGAGAGAGAGAGAGAGACAGAGAGAGAGACGGGACGAGAGAACGGGAGGAAACGAGAAAATGAAGGAGAAGGAGAGAAAGAGGGTCCGGAGCCGGGTCAGACCGGGCCACGTTTAGCTGAGGTCGCCCCGGGCCCCCAGACCATTAACAAGGAGCGGAGCAATTTATGGACCGGCTCGCTCATTTCCACTTTATTATTATTTTCTCATCTCATAGATGGTCTTCCACGTCGTTTTGTTCCGCCGCGCCTGACCCCTCCGTCCTCTTCCTTCTCTTCCCTCCCTCCCTCCCTCCCTCCCTCCCTCCTTCCCTCGCTCGCTCATCCAACGGCTTCTCCACCTCGCCACCGCCTTTCTCCCTCCGTTTCTCTCTTTCTCTCGTGAAATTAATACCCACGGCTAAGCCGGGAGAGCCACCGGCGAACCGTGGCGACTCGGCGATGAGCTCAGAGAGGGTACCTTCGGACCTGGCAAAAAATTGCGGAACGCGAAATATTATTGCGCCGTCCCTCCCTTCGTGCCCTCTCGCGCAGGGTCTTACATCGGCAATAATTTCGCGGCCCGGCCGCTCCGACATTGTATCCGGAAGTCGGTTATGTTTATGTGTGCGGGTCGCGCTAATTGTATATTACACGACGGTCTCGGAGCTACCTCTTCTTGGCCGGCGAGTGTGACCAGAGCGCGATCACCTGGCGAGCGAGTCGAAACGCCGCGTATCCGTGTTCCGTGTCGCGAAACTCTACCGCTCGGGTAGATAGTTGAGCAGTTGCAGAAGAGGAAGGAGAACCCAAGGTGTGCGCAAACGTAATTTATCGCGAGCTCGCGAGGGAGGAATTTCAAAAGACGCCGCAAATCATCCTGCGAATGAAACGCGCAGCGGAGAGAGAGAGAGAGAGAGAGAGCGTTAGATGGAAAATGGCGTTGTAAAAATCGACTCACACGCGAGGAGAGATCGCGATTGGCGCGATAATGAGAACTCAAAGTTCATCTCGCGACGATGCGTGCGCGCGAGTCTCCGACTACGCGGTGAGAAATATTTATTACGTCCACGTACAGCGCGCATTTATTTCCTCGCCTGCTCGCTAGCTAGCTAGCTAGCTAGCTAGCTAGCTAGCTGGCTGGCCAGGATGCCGCGTTGCCTGGTTGGCATTCGTTAAAGATACCCCAACCGCGAGTGTCGAGTGCAAACGAACGTATCGACACTTTCGATCGATGTCCGCGTATCCTCCTTCGTTCCGGCTAAATATAAAAAAGGGAAAAGAGAGAAAGAAATTGAAAACGGACTCGAGCTGAACGTCAATAACCACCGCGAGATACCTTCGCTAGCTCTCCTTTCTATGCGTCATGCATGCTGGCGCTTGGTTGGTTGGGCGAGCGTCCCTCCCGATATAAGTTGCCGTGACGCGATACTCCGGCCCCGATGAATCCCCGGATGCCGCGCGGCTTTATTTTAAGCGATCGCCATGACAAAGTGACCCCGGAACCGCGGGAGTTTCCCGCCTGATGATTTGCTCTCTCTCTCTCTCTCTATCTCTCTCTCTCTCTCTCTCTCTCTCTCTCTCTCTCTCTCTCTTACTCCCGGGGCTCGGGACGAAAGCCAGCGGATGAGCTCTCCATTTTACGACCCGCCTCTCTACGGAGCCCGAATACGCGTTTCGCAGCGAAATAGGCGCCTTCCGCTGCCTCCGCTGGAGAGAAGGTGGACCCCGCCGTCTTGGGCCCCCTCGGTCTCATCTGCCCCCTTCCATCTGGGTTCCCTCATCGGCCGGGCCATCGTCTCGGTCTTCTCACTCTCTCTTTCCCGAAGCTGTGCTCGCCCATTGGCGCGAGGGTAGTTGTTATGAAATTAGCATGAGCGATCGGGTTAGGGGCTACGTAGGTAATCGCTTGGAGGGCATCGCGCGAGGGATTGGACATGCCAGTGCGGACCGGGCGCTTTGCCCAATGCCGCCGATCGTAAGGCCCCAATGCTGCCTTCGCCACGTCCCATTGGCTCGGGACGATTTACGATCGTTTTGCCCTGAACGTCTCCGGTCGTTCGCTCGCTCGCTCGCTCGCTCGCTCGCTCGCTCGCTCGCGCGCGCCCGCGATGAAGGAGATCGCGGTTCATGGTTCGCAATTAAGAGTAGCGATGTCTCAATGGATGCGCGTTTGAGGCGTCTCAGCCGCGCTCGCGCGTGCGTCGAGATAGTAGACCTGGGCTTCCCGTCCTACAAACTTGTCCGATTGAAATCCCAGGTTACATCGGGAGTATCACACAGAAATGGCGAGTTTTTCAGGAATCAGTTAAATCAGGATTACGTAATTAGCTCACGTTACACTCGTCCCCTCCGAGGTAGAATTCAGCGATCCGGAGAAGGAGAAAAAACGACGAGAAAGAAAGAATGTTTAATCGTTTTCACGGTGAATTAAAGTCACGTTAATTAAACGAATTTCGCGGAGGCAGGATTGAAATGCAAAAAAGGAAAGGAAGAGAAAAGGACCGGAGATGCGGTCGACGCTGAGAGGCCGGAGGCGAAATTCTACGCGAACAACCGTCCGACAATGCCGAGGAGCAACGAGAGAGAGAGAGAGAGAGAGAGAGAGAGAGAGAGAGAGAGAGAGAGAGAGAGAGAGAGAGCGCAGAAGCACGCGGCGCCAAGTCGAAGCAGAAGTCGCTTGACGCGTGACATGACTGGAAGTGACAGCCGCCGTGTGTAGGACAGGAATCGTACGTCGAGAAACTGACACCGGAGGGACCGGGGACCTCATCTCTGTCGGTCAGGGGCCCAGGTGCGTCGCATGAATCGGCTTCTCTCTACCCTTCTCTCTCTCTCTCTCTCTCTCTCTCTCTCTCTCTCTCTCTCTCTCTCTCTCTCTCGCCGAGAATGACGAATTCGCGTGACGAGCACATTTCGTCCGTTGAATTGATCAAGGTGGCCCGCGATATCGACGCGTTAGTCTTCGTTAGCGTTTCATTAACGCGAGTCATTATGGGCGGCGTAATTATGACGAAAACGAGGTCTCTTTCCAAAGCTACACACCCACCGTAGCAGCCTGATAACGACGGCGAGGTCGTCGCTCGCTCAAGTTTCGGCCACTCCACGAGCGTATCCCCCGAGAGATAAGCGGCCGCGAGCGGCGCGTTAAAGAACAATCCTCCCCCGCGGCTTTCCGCGGTCTTACACAACGGGATAAGACATTCGAGACGACAGCCGCCGGCTTGTCCGACAAGGCTTACACGTGGTATGTACGTTCATCGATGGCTATCCAGGGACTGTTGTTCGGCCTTTGGCCAAGTTCTGAACGGACCCCCGTCGAGAATGATGGATCCCTATCGGAGATGCCTCGGTGGCTAAAGTCCGCGCTACTTTCTTCAGGAATATATTCGACTCGCTCGGTATTGCGCTTTCCCTACCACACACGCTGTACATTCACAGAGAGTACAGCGTGCTACTGGCGTGATGCTAGCAGCGCTAGCTTCTTCCTAACCTCATCATTCGAGCGTGGTGGTGACGAGTGGATGAAATCGATGAAAGGACACGGCTGAGAGAACGATATTATTTTAATAAGCACGCGATAAGGAGCGTAATCGGGCCGACGG